ATGGAATGTATTTTGTGTATTCTTATTTACTTTTGTTCAGTAGGTCTCTGAATTTACACCTGATAATCCACAATCATGACAGGCAAGTATTGTACATTTACATTTACTTTTCCTGACTGCAACCCCTTTTTTTGGCCTATGACATAACCTCTGTGTTTCAGGGGTTGGGTTTGGTGCTTTAAAACATCTGCTCAGTGTAATGTTTACATATTAACCCTAAGACAAAACACAACATTATAATGCAACTAAATGAGGGTGGCAGTTAATTTTTTTTTTTTTTTTTTTGTGATCTTAACATTCTTATTTCGTTTCTGAATGAAAGCTAACACTAAAAAGTAATAAAATAAAAAGTAAACATACATGCATTTTGGGTTTTGTCAGACTGATGTATTGCAACATTATCATAAGACATTTACTTTTCATGACACCACTGGACATTATTTTTTAAAAGAGATGGTCAGTGCTGTAATAAGCACATTATTTACACTTTAAATTGCTCGAAACTGTTTTTTTAAAAATCATGTACTGTATACAAAATTCAAAAGCTGTTTCAAATCTATCTTTCCTTTTCAGAGAGGCAATTTGTGTTTACCTCAGAGGATGAACTATATAGTCTCAGTGAAGACACTAATTGTCCTTATTGTAGGACTGCAGTCACTCTGACACAGGCACATCTGTTACAGCGGCATTTTAGATATGCAATATTTTACAAAGAAGAAAAAAAAGGTAATTTACACTATTAATTTATCAGTGGATCCTCTTGTTAGACATTTCTTACTCTGTGTTTTTATGTACATTATTATAGTGAAGTTGATCATACCCTGCTACTGCACTGATGGAGTGCAAGGTCGGAGTCACTGGCATTGCCAAAAGTGCAGAAGTACTGTAGCAAGAGCAGGGGATTTCAAGGCTCATCTAAAAAAACATGGTTTGTGTTATTTATTCCTTTTACCTAGCAAAATTTACTGTATTATTTTGAATATGTAGCTGTATTCATTATACAAAAATATTAATCAATTATAATTTAATAGAACTGGCACTAATAACAATTTTATTCTCTGGATTCATAGGTTATGAAGTGACAGAAAAATCAGAAAAACAAAAAAATCAAAACGGTTTGACCATTTCTCTGTAATATCAGTTACTTGTTTTAGCAATCCATTTTTGAATGTTACATCTTTTTTTGTTCTTTATTACTTAGTGACCCAACAACTCACCCATGAGCGAAAAGATTATGTTTCTGAGGACAGTGTTTCAGAGGAGCAAGCCAATTCACAAATGCAACAAGAAACCCATGGAATTTTGCAGACAGAATCCCCAAAGAGTCGTTTCAAATGTCATAAATGCGGAGCTGACTTTTCAAACACATTTAATCTGAAGAGGCATGAGAAAATGCAACATGGCTTGGAGCAACCTATGCTTTGCATTGATCAAAAAAATGCACTATATGTCACACCAAAGGAAGTACATGGGCCAAGAGTGCCAGTCCATGTCAAGAAATCTCTACTCCTAGGACAAATATACTGTGAGTCAGATATTTGCAGAGACATGGCAAAGATAGCAGCCCAGAGTGGACACCCTGCAACTGAATGCCACCACCTTCGAAGAACAATCTCTGCACAACGCTACATTCCACCAAAAACACTGAACTCTACATCTTTGGAGCAAATGTTAGATAAAGGACTAATTTCAAAGTCACGAGCCACAGAATGCAAGGACTTACATTTGAAGGCCAGTGAAGAGGAGGTTGATTGTGTCTTCCCAATTTTTTGGGGGGAATATGGCCTGTCACAGACTTAAATTTACTTTTCAGTTTTTACTTACCTCAAAGACAACTGGTGTCAGCTTGGGCGAACAATTGTGACATTTGACACAATGTCCGGTAAATGGCACTGTCAATGTAGGGGCAGTAAACACAGACAGAGTTGTGTCCACAGACACGTATGCATGTGGTGGATATTCCAGGAGCGTACATCATTACTGAGAGAGCATTCTAATGCAAGTCCTGAAGAAATAGAGGACCTTGAGGAGAAAGAGCAAGAGAGGGATGTTGAATCAAAACCATCAAATGAGACAGCATCAACAGTTATTAAAATGACTGAGTACTTTTTGAGGTACAAGAAAATTCCTGAAAATCTTCCACAAGACCTCAAATTAACAGAAATGACGATACCTGAAAGCTTTGTGCCTAAAGAGACACAATGCCCTTACTGCCCCGGACCATGCTATCCTGACCTCAGTGAACCAATCCTGAAGTCAAAGCATGCAACCATTTATGCTTTGTTTTCTGTGCACAGTTAATGAGTTGTAGTGGAAACATATTGTTGTTGTATATAATTATATATATTTTATTTATGTATATTCTGTTCAGGTGTTGCAGTCTACATAAAGGAATGCCCTGTTTGTGGAACCCCAGTCAGATTTCAAGAATATGATTCTGGATTTCACAATTTCAACAACAAAGTGTTCCTCACAATCCCGTTGTGCTCCCTTTTGACAACAGGTCTTTCAGTAAGTAAAAAAATAAATAAATAAATAAATAAAAAATCAGTGAATTTTAGCCAACATGATTGAATATTTACCTGAACATTATCTTGCCCATTCGGCTAACTACAATGTTAATTTATCTATACCTGCAACAGAACCACATTGCTGTCGGACGTTTTTTGCGTACGTTGGGGGAACACAGCAAAGTGTACATTCCTCACAACACAATACGGAAAGCTTTTTACCACTTCTCTGCTTTGAGGAGCTACACCTACAATTACTTTTGTTACCGCTGTGGCCATCATCCTCCTATTTTGATTGCTGACACCAACTGGAAAGTGGCCTTTGACTTACCAGGTAGGAATTCAGTGTACCCATTCATGAAGAAAATCCTTTACCCTCAAAAGTTGGCAACAACAGTTTCCACTGTCTGCTCATAAAATACTTACTCTTTCTGTACAGTGCATCTCATGAGACGACCAGACCTGACAAACACCACTGCACAGGACACACAGGTGAATGTTTCATCTCGATGGGAAAACCTTGAGAAAGAGATCATTGCAACAGGACTTTGTGATGGTAAGCTGTTTAATATACTTCATAAACATTATTATGCCTACTTGTTTTAAATTTTATTTACAATTCATTGCCTCCATCTCTTCCTCCCCTATGTCCTTCATTTCTTCTCTCCCAACTTACTCACTCAGTCACTAACTCACCTACTCACTCCCTCTCTTCCTCTCTCTATCAGGGTCATGTCAAAACCCATTTTCTAGCTCCCTGACATATTCTGCCTTTACACCATGGATTGGTCAGTACTCAAGAATGTCTGATGTCATACCCAAGACTGAGATTTTGAAAGGCCTCTCCCAGAAAGACCGATTGTGAACAAAGAGGACAGATTAGGAATTTGATGAGGACCGAATTTTGCAAGTTTTAGAGCTCAAAGGGGTAAAACATTTAGATGTTTGCTGATGTTTATTCTATTAAAAAACTATAAAATAGTTTATTTATAGGTTTAATGTATTACTTTCAGTAGATATTATACATTTGAGTCAATTTGTCATTTGCCAAAACTACTTAAAGGGTTAGTTCACCCCAAAATGAAAATTCTGTCAGTATTTACTCACCCTCATGTTGTTCCAACCCCGTAAGACCTTCGTTCATCTTCGGAACACAAATTAAGATATTTAAGATATTAAGATCGCTCCTGCATACAGTCCATAGGCTTCTTGAGGGACTGGCTCTTGCTGTCCCCGAAAAGTCATTAAAGACATCGTTAAAATAGTCCAAGTGACTACAGGGGCTCAATCTTAAGTTTATCAAACGACGAGAACACTTTTGTGCGCAAAAAAACAACAAAAATAACGACTTTATTTCAACTATTCACGTCCTTCTCCATGAGCCTGTAAGTCAGTTAACGTAGTGTGATTGCGTAAAGCTACGTCACACGTAGGCTCACTATTGGCCGACGCTGGTCATGTGTGTGTGATGCGTGTGACGTACAATAACAGAAGCTTACGCTATTAAACTAGTAACCTGACTCGCGCAGAGGGAGAAATAAACGAATAGTTGAAATAAAGTCGTTATTTTTGTTGTTTTTTTGCGCACAAAAGTGTTCTCGTCGTTTGATAAACTTAAGATTGAGCCCCTGTAGTCACTTGGACTATTTTAACGATGTCTTTAATCACTTTTCGAGGACAGCAAGAGCCAGTCCCTCAAGAAGCCTATGGACTGTATGCAGGACCGATCTTAATATCTTAAATATCTTAATTTGTGTTCCGAAGATGAACGAAGGTCTTACGGGGTTGGAACAACATGAGGGTGAGTAAATACTGACAGAATTTTCATTTTTGGGTGAACTAACCCTTTAAACAAAAAACAAAAACAAAAAAACAATTAAAAACCATATGCATATTTTCCCCCATCACTTTTCTCCCATGTTTTCCCCCATTAGCCTCGAAGAGAAGATCTTACAATGGCATGCAATGCTCTAGGCATTTCAGCTAGTGGATCACAGTCTGACCTCATTAATAGGCTTGAGGAACTTCTGTTGTACAAGGATATGTATCCAAAAATGTTCGTAAAGCTTCACAAAGCAGGAGGTAAGATACAAATGTAGACAATTACAAGCAGGGTACCGAATGAACAATACATTTGTTTTATATATATATGGACATTAAGAACAAAAAAAAGTAAATAAGAAAAAGTATATAAATGCAGCAGTTTAATAAAATAAAATAAAACTATCATACTAACATACTTAAAGACCCACAGAAGAGAAAAGCACTATAATGTTACCTCCATCTATCATAACCATTTTGCCCTGATTGATAATGAATCATAGACATTATTGACTGCCAGTTGAATGAAAGAAATATATTTATATTTTACATTTGACTGCCAAACTATATATATCATAGTGAAAAAATATTACATGAAATTAGCAATTGTTCTGCGTTTTCCCCATTTTTTTCCCCACAGGAGGGGTACTGCATCTTGGGTGCACCCTTGGTGTGGTTTATTATCAGTCACCCCTGTGGTGGCAGGAATCTGCTCGAGACCATGGAGATGGGCTCTTGAGTTTTAAATATCCACCCACGGTCTTCATCTCAGATATAGCTGGACGTGTTGCCAGACATTTAAATAATAGGACTCATCAAAAGTTCTTTCAGCCACATGATGGCAGGCTATGTGCTCCAACATCTGAAAACATTTCTGCTGCATTGGAAAAAAAACTCACTGTGCAGAAAGAATGGGTGAATACCCTTCGAAGCTCAATGGGGCCAAATAAACATGAAGACCAAACAAGTGACAGATTCACCTGCCCTCACCCTCTGACTGGAACTCATGAACGGTACTCCCTTTATGACCGTTTTCATGAGAAAAACCAAAAAAGGCCTGAAGAGAGACTGAGAAGCATCAAACTTTTGCCAGATCTTGCCAGTATTTTTAATTCATCTTCAGCAGAGCAAATTAACAAAGAGCTGTCAACCAGCAGGTATTTCCTCTGCCAACTGAAGGACATTCATTACATGTTCGCCTTGCGGCTGTGTTTCCATCTGCACAATCAGAGGATCAATGATAACTTTTTGCAGGACATTCAAAAATGTCTCAAAAAGATGTGCACCTAGGGCTACATGGACACCTATTAATAGGTGTGGATGAGGAAACAGACAAAGGTATATAGTTCATGAAATAAAAGTTAATGTACTATACATTTTATTAACATAAACTTTTATTTGTATCTCAATATACAATGTCATATCTTTGCAGAGATGTACCAAAGAACATCTGCAAAGTCATTAACCGACCCACAAGCTGAACCAGATAAAGTTGAGGAAGATATGGAGAGTTTCACTGTGTCATTGTTTCCGATAAGTGAACAAAATAAGGTACAGACTGTCTTTTTGTTTGTTAAATTATAGCAAAAATATTGGAATAGTTTACAGGAACAAAAAACTACACCTGTAGTATTTTCTGCTTCATTTATATGCAATGAATGGGTTCTGTTTTTGAACTACAGGACAAGCTGAAACAACTTTACATTTCCTGGAGGAGAAAGAGACAAATAATTCACAGATTTTCAGCATACGCAACACTGTATATTGCAGACTTGAGAAGTGTTTGCCCCTCTTCTCTTTTAGAGGAAGACCCAAATAAGAACATGCCTTGGTTAAGTGATAATGTAAGTGTGCTTACAATGTTCTTATGTTTGCTTTACAATTCTTTATTAGGAACTCAGCACATGACACTGCACACAGTTCATGTAAATAAAACTACACTCCCATTCATAATGTACTCATGTAATTTGTTTGTATATTAAAGACTGTCATTTATTTAAAAGGCAGTGAACTGTTGTCTTGCTCAAATTGCAGCAGAAACTCCGCATGTAAGTAACTGACTATTCAATGGTCTTAGCAGATAAGCATTTGTCTTATGAGATTTGTCATATTGCTCTGTGAATGTTAAAAATGTAGTATAATTAATTTCTGTTCACTTCATGCACAGGTTGTTGCCTTATACACAGATGTGTACATTTTGTGGTACAGAGAGTGGACAAAAAACAAAGCCATTTCAAGGTCACATGTGCAAGATCTTGAGGTATACTTGAGTAACTGTTTAACAATTGAGGTTTTTCACACACACACACACACACACACACACACACTCATATATATATATATATATATATATATATATATATATATATATATATATATATATATATATCATATACTCATATAAGTATATGTGTGTGTGTGTGTGTGTGTGTGTGTGTGTGTGTGTGTGTGTGTGTGTGTGTGTGTGTGTGTGTGTTTGTGTATTTCCACTGTAGAATGCTCAAAAAATCCTGCTCCCAAGAATCGTTGGTGGTAAAACACCAGAACGGGGAAACCACTTTATACTCTGGGTAAGGTTTTCAAGAAACTCGGTTGTGCTGTAACATTGAATTGAATTGATATGCTGACTGTAACTTTTTATATGATTTTTTCACAGGTTTTCGATGTCTCTGGAAAACAAGTGCGTATTTATGATTCAATGCGATCTACAATTCTATTGAAAAAAATGACATGGATATTCTGAGGTAATTCATTTCTCATCTGTAGTGTAGCATAAAAACGTTAACTTTTTATTAATAATAAATAGAAGATGTGAGAGATGCATGACATGAGAGCTCTGTTTGAATCTAAAATCTGTAAAGAGAGGCTTTCCAAAAACTTGGGTCACTGGATGGCTGGACTGTTTGCAACCCAGAACAGTGGATGCAGCGAGATGGTGTGAACTGCGGGGTATTTGTTTGCATTGTAAGGTTTATCACTCACTTCACTATTACAATTTTTTCAGAATGTGCTTTTTTGGCCCATTAACCGCTTCATTGTTTTTTGTTTTAAAGGCAGCTGAAATGGAAGCCAAAAAAATGAAGTGCTGCAAACTTGTCAGCTAGTACACCTGCATGTTTGCCATGCCACAAGCATGTTGAAAGATGTGATGACTGAAGTAAGACAAACAGGAGTTAAGATTTTCAATACAATTGGTCCAAAAAAAAAAAAAAAATTAAAACTCATTTGTAATACTGGACAGGACTTTCCGACTGCAATTGGAGAAAGAGAGGAAGGTGAAATAGAGACCAACACCTGCATGGCCCAGGACATAAAAGCATGTGTTTATCAAAACACTGGAAATAAGTAAGTAGTACCACACAAATTGCGAGTATTAGTGTAAATTAATATTGCTGCTTTGACTTTACAATTATTTATACATTTTTAGAACCCTGCATCCACACATCAAACGGATGAAGTGGGTTTAGTGTGATCTGTGCAACAAATGGTTACACACTGATTGTGCTGGCATAGACCCTACAACAATTCGCAAAGACACGCCCTTCAGCTGTGGATGTGATCAACAACCATATTCTTTTCAAAGGTAAGCAAAATAACCATAACATAAAACAAAAGCTTACTGAACTGCTTTTAATGTGTATGTCTATTTTACAGCACCCTCACAGCTTTGAAACAGGGACTTTTGGTTGACACACTTGTGGAGGATGAAGAAATTGTGGTAATTGTTCTTGAAATTTTAAATAAAATAGCACATAACCATGTTTGTATGAAACATGTAATAATTACATTTAGGATCAACATAATAGCACATTGATCATTTATATTGTGCTGTAAAACTTTTTTTTTTTCTTTTTTTTGTAGAAACTTCATCATGACCTCACATCTGGTGCTGTTAGATCACACAGAATGTTTTTACATAAACATCCCAGTTATGCCCCCAAACTGAAAACCCAATGTAACCTACGGATCTCTGTTTTTGACCAAGAACAGGTAAAATAATATTTATTTGTCATAAAAATATATTTAAAATTAACTTGGTTCTTGCAACATGAATTGACATCACAATTACTCATTTTTTTATAGATTCATACTGTTACAGATAATCAATATCTTGACATTCATTATAATCCGAAACAATTGGAATGTAATTAAATTATTCTTAGATGCTGATTTTTTTTTAAACACTGATATACATATCTGCATTGTTGTTTTTCATAGACAGAGGGAATCATTGACAAGGTGTACAGTGTTTTGGCATTGAAAAAAACAGATTTATCTAGCCCTTCATATGAAATGGAAGTCATGACACCTGAGGTAAATCATGTTTTGTGAAGAACACAATAACAATTCAAGAGCTAATGATAGATATTTGAAATATAGTGTGTGAATTATGCAGTTACCAATTCTACATCTAATGCACACATTCTAATGTGTGACAAGATTTTAATGACTGTTTTTTCCTTTATTATAGATAACCATTCTGATTCTCAGAAAGACAGAGGGGTTCCACAGATTCCAAGCGGAAATGGCTTTTGCAACTGCACACTGTCTGTGTGTTGAATAATATGCGACAAGCAATGGCCTTTATAGATTCTTTTTTGTATTATTATTTCTAAATAGTTTTTTTTCCCTTTGTTTTTATTTGTAAATAGATTTTTTTCTTGGGTTTTATTTGTAAATTGTCTTTGTAAATTTGAAAATATAATGATACAATGTGTGCTAAGTGATTTTACCATTAAAGTTGGCATTCTTTTATTGAATTATTAAAAAGCTTTGTTTTAACAAAATAATTAAAAGCATCTCTGTATTTTGTCTCTGGTGTCAGAAAAATGGTCAAAGCAATGACAACGAATCATGTTATTGGGATTAATTCAAGTTTTATAGGCTACTGTGCATCTACATTATTACACAACTTTTTCACAAGGATTAAAATCGTCACAACTAAGGCAGTATCCGCAAACTAGATTTATTTCCTTAGAATGAGAGGCAGGCAACAGTAACCAAGCAACCAGTCTGATCAGAGCCATTTGATTGCTTTAATTATGATAAAATTCCCTAAAACACCAATTATAGACAAGAATAAAGGCAAGGCATTATATTTATAAAAAGAAAACAATGTATTTCCTTTTAGCGAGAGTGTCAGGCAACGCGTTAGACTCGCAGTCTCAGCCGCGGCTGACTGGATGAGCGTCCAGCGAGCGTCTGTAAGCTGCCAGTCTGATCACGGCCATTTGACTGGTTATCTAGGGATAACAGTGCACAAAACATTATTCCTCCACAAGAATAAAGGCATGGGTTTATATTTATAAAAAGAAAACCATTTATTTCCTTGTAGCGAGAGTGTCAGGCGACGCGTTAGACTCGCAGTCTCAGCCGCGGCTGACTGGACTAGCGTCCAGCGAGCGTCTGTAAGCTGCCAGTCTGATCACGGCCATTTGACTGGTTATATTGGGATAACAGTGCACAAAACATCATTCCTCCACAAGAATAAAGGCATGGGTTTATATTTATAAAAAGAAAACAATGTATTTCCTTGTAGCGAGAGTGTCAGTCGACGCGTTAGACTCGCAGTCTCAGCCGCGGCTGACTGGACTAGCGTCCAGCGAGCGTCTGTAAGCTGCCAGTCGGATCACGGCCATTTGACTGGTTTAATCGCGACAACAGTACCCAAAGCACCAATCATACACAAGAATAAAGGCATGACATTATATTCATAATAATAATTTTTTTTATTTCCTTTCAGCGAGAGTGTCAGGCAACGCGTTATATTCGCTGATCACCCGCGGCTGACTGGATGAGTCCAGCAGCGTCTGTAAACTGCCAGTCTGATCACGGCCATTTGACTATTAAATTGGGATCCTACTACTATTAACAATAATTTCAACAGATACATAATAAATGAGCTATAAACGGAGGAACACAAAACACAAAAACTGTCAAAAATCAATGGTTTCTGAAACTTGCCAAAGGCAGACTGACAGACAACCACTGGCAGCTGCCAGTCAGCCACTGGCAGGTCACGTGACCTGCCAGTGGCAGCTCCTGCCAGCCAGTTGAAATGTGTGTCTGAAAATCACTCCCTATCCACCATATAGTGCACTATATCGGGTGTCGGCCATTTTGTAGTGGTGTCCGAATTCTGAGTGAACGACATCATTCCCTACATTCATTCACTACTTTTACCCACAATCCTCTCTGAATTCGAGTGTGCATTCGATGTACACTTGCTGAAGCCCTATTTCCCACAATCCAATGCGGAGAGAACTGAGCGCGCATGAAAGTGCGGCACGACCAAGTTTAAACCAGAGATTACATTACATCCAGTGGAGGATTTGAAAAATATCCGTTAATCGTCGTTTTGAACATAATAATAACGGTCGCCGGAGGGCGCTCGACGACACGTCATCTGTGAACGTGAGAGTTAATGTACAATTTCAGTCGATGAAACTACAAATCTGGCACGGAGGTATAATTACAAAATAAAGTCATTATGATTGTAATTGTTGTTAATATTATTTTATAAAGTAGGTAATGTAAGATAAAAGGAGTTTTATCAGTACGCGTGACCAGCCGCGGCGCTACCATTGGGCCTGGGTGGGCCTGGGCCCACCCATATTAGGTCCGGGCCCGCCCATTTTGAGCCAGGCGGGTAACTCCTATTACCGTCTGCAGAGACCTCGCAGGCGTACGGATTTTCATTCTCAGATCATCCAATAAGCAGCCAGAGGAAAACTTTGAGTGAAAGCTTCTAAACCAATCAGCAGCTTCTACCTCACGTGTGGACTCTTAAGCCTGCCCACAGGCTGCATCGTCACCAGCAAGTGATCCAATGAAATGAATGACGTTGGCGCGCAAGATTTTCAATGAGACAGAAACAGTCGGTAGCTATTAGCTAAAATGAAGCGTAATATGGAAAAGCAAAGCAGCTTGTTTTCATTTAAATTTAGCAATAAAAAAATAAAAAAACGCTCCGAGGAGCAGGAGGAGGAAACTCCTGCCATTTTTAGTAACGCGGTTACTTCAATGAAGAGTTACCATCCTGCTCGGCCGCCCTCTCTGCATCAAGTCCTCCCGTAACCAACGTATAATTTTTTGCTCATGAATGTGACACTGTGACAGATCGGATGTGTTTGTGACCATGTAAACAGGAAAAAAAAAACGCATGCATTCGGCTATTTCGAGATCGGTTTCAGGCCTCATTCATATGTGGAAATAAATTGGAAATGAATCAGATGTCAATGCATTTAGACCACTTCTCCGCGGTTTAATGACGAGAGCCGACGCGCATCTGCAAAGGGATGGATTGCCCGACAAAACGCCGTAGAGAAAACGTGAATGTTTGTGGACAAACGTTGACGCATATCAACATATCAAAAAGGTTGGCTTGCTCTTCCTAAAATTTCGGACCCACTGCTCCTCGTTAAAGCCTATATTTAAACACAATATGCTTCCACCAGTCCTGAGATTTCTCTCGCACACAATAACTGAAGCGCATGCGGCCATGCGCAGGCAGCAATGATGGCACTTTTCGTCGTCCTCCTCCTCAAAATCATGGTAATGTTTGGAGAACTTCGCATAAATTGCAGATTTAGCATCAAGCATGTTTCACGTTCGTCCATCTGTAAAAAAGAGAATTTAACCCTTTAAGCTAGGGTGACCAAACGTCCTGTTTTCCCAGGACATGTCCTGTTTTCACGTCTTGTCGTGGCTGTTTTTTATAAAGTGATGAAAATGTCCTGGTTTTAATTATTTTTCATTGGGCCATTTAAAAAGAAAAACATGAAAAAGAGGAAGAAGAAACCTAAATATATAAACAACTTTTGTTAGTTAGGTTTTTGTTAAGTTTGTGAGAGCTATTTTGGTTCAATTTGGAGGTAGGCTATTTTTTATTTTTATTTATTTATTTATTTCTAATACAGAAGAGACATTATTTCTATCATTATTTTTGAAACCTGTCATAATAAAACATGTTGAGTAGAGTATAACCTCTGAGAAGCCTATCTGAATTTGGTCTTTGGTTATAGATAGTATTTTGTAATGTAACCATTTATATCCGGAGGCATACCCTATTAAATTATTGAAATTAAGGCATCTTTGAGTAAACTTCGAGTATCATTTGAGTATCTCATTGCCGGGCCGATTGTCCTGGTTTTTGATAATCAAAATATGGTCACCCTTTAAGCAAGCGCGATGTTTTTAGATATGGCTATATGGCAAGTGTAAACACATGACTCGGATAAAGTTGAAAGAACGTGTAAACGGACGGTAAAAAAAAAAAAAAATCGGAGAAATGTAACAAATTAGAATTGGGCATCAAGACCTGCAGAGTAATCGAGGCCTTTTTTTCAGAATAATAACAATTTAACTTTTTTATTTAATCTAATTATAGGCATATAATTTTTACCACTCTCCACGCCTCCCATGGCATGCTCTGGCTCCCCACTTTGGTTAGATATGTTGTTCATTTAATTATTTCATGTTGGTACAGTTCTTCTATCATTCTGAATAAATAAAAAAAAACAGTTAAATAATTTTGCATCGTTTTCCTGCTGTTTTTGTTTAGCAGCTGTCAGATTCAGTGCTGCTGTTATTTCATGTCGATAAAGTTCTTCTGTCATTCTAACTTTATAAGAAACAGTTAAATAATTTTGGACAGTTCCCTGCCCGTAACTGGAGAGAGAAACAGAGACCCTCCAAAGATATAATTCCGTTTCAGTCTTTTTGTGTATTAAACATTCAAAAGAGATAAATCAAGTTATAGGCTTACTGAGTCGCTGTCCACAGTGCCGCAGAAAAGCGCTGAAACGGATATGAAGGGGATTTTTTTTTTTTTTTTTGCCTTACGGACGGGCCCATCCAGTTTTCTGAAGGCCCACCTACAATCAAAATCCTGGCGCCGCTAGTGCGCGTGACGAAGCCTTTTCTGCGACAGCTCCAACTCTCCGACGCACAGTGTAAACGTCAGCGTCCGAATTCACTCACTTCATCTCGTTCACTCCTTGCAGATATAGTGTGTAACAGACTTTGATAATTTTTCTAGTACATTTTTGTATATATTTTTATAGTCCTGTTTAGTTTAAATTAGATTTACAAAATCTATTAAGTGGGACTTTTATTTTGACATGTTCTGCGGGCTTCGGGGGAAAAGGAAGTAAAAGGAAGTAAGGGGAGAGCGCGAGTTATAGTGGAAAGAGCTAAGAGAAAGCACGCGCTTCGCGCAGTTGTACTGTTTATCAAGTTTAACGAAGTTTAATGGTATATGCACCCCCTCGGAAAAGGCACAAGGTCTGTATTTTACTTATGTTGTTGATAATATGACGTTGAGAGAGTTTAATGCGTGTTGTTAATGCGTGTTTTTGTACTTTATTCAGCTCTTACGGTGATTGGTGATGTGATTTATTGAAAGCATAAAGAAGTGAAACAGACTCAATAAAAAACTTCATTGACATCAGTAAAGAAGTGTCCATCATTCGAGAGGGGTCTGCTACAGTAAGAGCTTCACCTTCGCTGGTTTGCATCTCGGCCGCACGTGCTTTTGTGGATGGGGCAACGTGACGATCGTTAATGAAGTGCAGCACGATGGAATCAGCGTGATGGAGAGCTGAAACGCCATACAAGTGAGTTGATTATGGAAATTGAAACTGAAGACCCAGATTCTGAAAGGTCGCTTCAAACAAAGTCAGAAAGTGTAAAGGAAAAGCACGGAGAAGGATCAGTTAAATATAAAGAGAAAAATGCCACTGAAATCCCGTGTCATTCACAAGACAGTACAGGAT